CTTTAAATTCTAAATCTATTTATTGAACAAATAAATTAAAAAAAGCAAAAAACAAATGAAACAAACAATGATAAAGCTAGTTAAACGGCAAATCTAAAAATTAAACCAAACACTTTTTTGCTATTACAGTAGAACTCCAATTATCCGAACTCCGACTATCCGAATCGCCGATTATCCGAATCACAAATGCGCGTCAAGTCTTGACTTGACTTGTCTTAACTTGATGATTTTTATTTCTAAACTTGTACATAAGTACATTTTATTTATATTTAAAACATGTGAAAATTTCATGTTTCTTTCATTTAATTCAATAAAAAAATAGTGCAATATCAAAACGTAGCTTTTATTCTCTCCAATGGCAATTTTTTAAAAAAAAATCCGATTATCCGAATATTTGATTATCCGAATGGGTCCCGGTCCCCATTAATTCGGATAATTGGAGTTCTACTGTATATCGCTACAACTTCGTCTATGATAAATCGGTTTCGGCATTTATAACTTTGACAATGTTGCCACTATTCACAAAAATTCTACCATTTCGGGACCAAGCTGTATATTTCTTCATCTTTGCTGCCATTTACAAATTACTTACAAATACTTTTTACCGAGTTCTTCGTTAATAAAAATATGCGCACCTTTAAGAGCAAATCTGGCACCATAAATAATATTTCTTTTTATAGTGGATATAAAACTGCCTATAATTTGTCTTGGTTTGATCTGGTTGTTACCGAATTTTCCAGCTCGATAAATATTATTTATTTCCCAATCCGAGCACTTAACCTTTAGTCAGGGTTGGCAAATATCATGATATTTATTATAAATATCAAAATATCGGATATATACGATATATATCGGATATATATCAAAATTTGATATATATCAGATTGTCTCAATTAACTTTTGAGAAAATCCTTTTGGAGGATAATAGGCGTGGTTAATAAGTAATAAAAACAAAGAAGTATTTAAAGTGTATAATGATGAAAAAATATATTAATATATTTCTTCGATTTTTGCAGATTGTCGAGTATTTTTGACAGTAAATTTAATAACAGAATTAAATTTTTATTTATAATTACACACTTTTTAATAAGTTTTTGTTTTCATTTATTATTTTTAGAAAATGTTTGTTACTTTTAACTTTTAATTTACTTCAAATAAAAACTATGACAAATTAATTTTATAAAAACAAAATAAGAAGAAGAAAATCAGTCCGATTCGGAGTTTGGTTCTTGTTCCTCTGGGTTATATTTACTACAGGATGCCACAGGAACTTCAAGGTCTTGTTGCTGATTGTATAACCAGTCCAAATTGGTGGCTTTCTTGGAACAGTCCTGATTAAGAAATTTAAAAATAAAAGTTAATTTGGTAGCTTTGTCAGTTCCTAGTCTATTTCTTAGTTTGGACTGTACAAGTCCAAATGTGGAAAAAATTCGTTCCAATCCGGCAGATGATGCTACTGCAGTCAGTAGCTTTGAACACATTTCTAAAAAGGTGGGTTGTAAATTTGTCCAATCAAAAATGAAATCTTTTTTGTCATCTAAATCTAAAGTAAGTGCCTTTCACCAAGTCATAGGGGGCGTGCTTTGAAAAGCAGACGCAAGCATAAACTGAGGAAACGGTTTTGACCCTGAATTTAATGCCATTACAATAGGTATAAAATTGTTATTTATAGTCTCTAAATACTGATATGCTAGATTCTTTTCTTCATTATTTAAATTTCTCCCTCTAAAGCGATGGTCGCATAAATTTGCTAAATAATGGCTTGGTGTTAAGGCCATCTCCTTTCTAGTTCGAAAGTGTTCGAGCACATTACGTAGTTGTCCTTGTAAATCTTCTTCTAGTTTTTTCCAAATTTCTACACTAACGGCTATGGTAGTTCCATCCCTTTGCATGCGATCCAATGAAATTGCAATCGGCTCCATACGCTTTAAAAACTCTTTTGCATTTACTGTGATATTTATATCATTTACAATACGGAATATATCACGATCAATGGCGTCCTTATGATCTTGACAAACTTGTACAAGTATCCATCTATTTTCTAGGTACGATTTTAATGTATCAGTTACAGTGTTCCATCTAACTTCTTGAGGAAGGACAAGCATTTTCCCTTGCGCTCTCTTGTACCAGGCTAAAGGTAAATGCTTGTTTCTAAAGTATTTTATAACTTTTATAATATGTTCCTTAAGGCCCTGAATCTGTATATCCTCTGCCAACAAGTTGAGAATATGAGCCGAGCAACCATATTGTATAACATCAATTTGAGGTGTGGCTGCTAGAAATTTTCTCATTTTTGCAACGTTTTTGGCATTATCAGTCACAATGCTTCTTACTTTCGCACCAAAAAATGTTTCGATATGTATAACAGCATCAGAAGCGACTTCCTTTAAGTAATCAGCTGTATGTGAATGTCCAGAGGTATCCACAGTTTTAATTAAGTACGATTCACCATATTCATTTATAACAGAACAGCAAATTATTGGTTCATTATGAACATTTGACCATCCATCAACTGACATTGATACAACTTCTCCTTTTAATTTATCTTTACATAGTTCTGTAACATCATTATATACTTCGTCCAATAAATCATTTCCAATTTGCCTTCTGGAAGGAGGCTTGTATCCTGGTCTTAAAACTTTACACATTTTTTTGAACTCGTCATGCTCTACATGTCTAAATGGTGTATTCGTCGCAAAGAAAAATTTGCCAATTTGTAAATCAATGGTGTGTGCATATGATTTTGATGTTGAAATTACGCTGACGTCCTTAGCAACATTTAATTTATTTATATCTAAGCAGGGCTTTTTTTTCGGCGGTTTTACTGTTGATGATAATATCGTTACTGAAAGAGAAAGTAAAATATTATTTTTTAAATATAGATATAATTATTGGTCGGCAGATAAAAAGAGATGGTGTAATAATTAAACAGTTCAAAAAAGGAAATGTCTGAGCTAACACCATATAACAAACTATTATATATTTTTTATTCATGCCAACCAACAGCCTTATACAAATTTGTATTTTTAGAATGTAACATTTTCTTTATTTACCATGCAATTTTCATTTTTGGTTATTAAAAAGCGCTTATTAAATAAAATAACTTACCATTTTTATTTTTAACACGTTCAGTTTCTTCTTGTTCCAGGGTCAAGGTTTGATTAATATTTCCAATAGTATTTATATCCGTTGTTCCAGCTTCACTATTTATATCCGTTGTTCCAGCTTCACTATTTAGACACTTTTCAATGTGTTTTAACATTCTCTGTGGGATTCCCTGCATCTCCTTTTCACATTTTTTACAAATAGCCCATTTACCACTATTCTGATCTTTATTTACGCATCGAAAATTTACCCACACTGAATGTTTCCTTTTTGGCATTTTTTAATAATAAATAAACAGTATAGAAAAGAGAAAAATAATAGTTGCAACACACAATGCCTAACTGTAACTAAAAATAGCACACAACAGAGAATAAATCGATAAATGTAAACACTCTACCCAGAAAAATCCCAGACAGTTGTTAACAGACTGATGCAATGCTACGTTGCCAGGTTGTTATATATTAAGCAGATTTAAAGATATTTAAATATTGGATATATATCATCAACATTGATATTTATCTAGCAATAAATATCATGATATATATCACGATATATATCATGATATATATCGTGTGATATATATCTGCCAACCCTGCCTTTAGTACATCATTAATTATATTCAAAATTTTAGAAATTAAATTCTCTTTTTCTTCTTCAGGAACACCCACAAATCTTAAAGTATTTTGCTTATATTTGCTATCAAATACAATTTTATGTGAAGCACTATAGTTTCTTTTTCATTAGTTTGTACCCGATTTTTCAGTTGAGATAATTTATTAACAACATTGTTCAAATCCATTTTGTTAGTCAAAATCACTAATTCTTCCTCTATTTTCTGTTATTTTTGGTCCTAATTTATTGATTACTGCTTCAATAATATTTTCATTAAGCTCACTTGTATTACTGTTACTTCTGTCTCTGGTAGGCATTTCTAGGTACTTACAGATGTTTAATTTGGCAACAGTGTCGACTGCTCAGAATATTTCCTTACACTTTTTGATGTTTTTTCACTTTTCCAAACAAATATGGTTTTTCTCACTATGATAGTGAATTATGTACACTGTATGTATGTGTCTCAAGAATATTGAGATCTTTAAATGTGTGCAACGTTAGTGCGCAGCACTCTTTTTAAGAAAAAAAGGTGGGAAATCCTCCTATTTAAAAAACTACTAGATTTTATTAAAGCAAAAAGCTGCAAATTTTCATAGATTAAATTCGGAATGGCACGTAAATGATTTTTTCAAATTCCTTTTAAAAATTATCAAAATAAATACTTTTTGAAGTTTACAAAAAATCAAGGTTTCTCATCTCTAAGTTTTGTTATTATTGGTGTTTCCTGAAAATTTTACAGAAATCGGACTAAAAATAAAGTCTTAGAATGAATTATAAATTTTCGAGGTGTTCGGTTTCCTCTTAATTCATTTAAAAAACGTATTGCCAGAATTTACTAAAATAAATTAATTACAATTTAATTAATTAACGGTAATTGTAGCTAAATTTAGACAGGTTACCAAACGGCAATATATTATATTGTTATCAATTACTCATTTAAATTAAGTTTCATTTAAAAAGAAACAAATCACTACAGAAATCAGCCCCCGGTTCTTGTACTATTCTATTCTAGATTTATTTATAGATACTTATATTTATATTTTAATGATTTTTCAATAGAATTGGTTTTCTCTGGCAATAAACTATATTTCGATTAATTGATTGATTGATTGAGCAGTGATATTTTTTTTACAGGTTATTCAATACTAATACTAACGTTTTATCACTATAATAGCGCTAAAAAATACAAATCAACAAATTTAAAAAAAAATTATATAAATATTAAGACAAATATCTTATTATTGTTTATTTTTTGAAAAAGTTCTTATAAGAATATATTTTAGGAGCTAACAGAATTGCACCATGAAAATGTTGTGGCTCTACTAGACTGCAAAGAATCTGCAAACAATGTCTACTTAGTTATGGAGGTAAGTGAAAAATTACAGTTATAAGAAAGACTTATGTACATTTTATGTTTAGGGTCCGATTTACAATAAGAAGAACACAGAAATATGGCTATGACGTAGCGGTGTTCTTCTTATTGTAATCGGACCCTACCTACGCTACTGAATATAATAATTTATGCCATATGTAAGAATATAAAAAATATATTAATAGTTTGAGATAGGTTTTCTGATATTTTATAAATCAGAAATATTATAATTGGCTATTTTTGGACCAGCTTTTGTGCAATTTCATTAGCATTTATTTAATGCAAATTAAGAACCTAAATAGGTATATTTATCATAATTTTTCCCATTGTTAAAATTCTAATTATCCTAGTATTTAAATTTCACTTAATTGAAATTTCACAATGAATAATCTTAACTTTTAAATTTATTGGGTTAATTATATGCTTGGAATACATTCAAAATTTACAAGATTATTTTTATATTATAGATATTAACTGATAAGGGGTATTATATTTTGAAAAATATGTAAATTCATAATGGACGGTTATTAGTTTTTTATATCCAATTCTTTTTAGAATATTTATTATTCATTATTAAAAAAAAATCTACTCTTCACATTCCTAAATATGTAAGTATTAATTGATTGGTACTTACACATGTATGGTAATTATAAAATGTTATTGAAAATATTTTTTACGGAAGAATAAGTGTATTTTTAAGAAAAAATAACAGACAGGGTATGCCGTAAAACTCCCAGAACAAATATGTCTGAAACCAGATAACATTTATGTCTGGTAAAAGCTATTCGGTTGCTATTACATGTAGCTTCAAATTTCAGCGATTCGGGATTTTACATCGCGTATAACCAAGATGGCGCCACAGGGCAAAATATTTTTTCTGTCCCAATATCTTTCGGTTTTTTACTAAATTATAAGCAATTTTCCAGGAATAAAGTTTTTTCAAAAAACGAATGGTTTTCCAGTTATTTTCTATTTTAAAACTTTATTGTGGATGATTTTGACCGACCCCTGTACCTTTGTATCGTTTATTTTTTTTATAGGCCATGTAGAACGTTTTTCTTGCTTTTAAGAGTTTTATAAAATGAAGAATAATTCGGAAAATTACTTTCAGTTTGACAGGAAATAATATATCTTAATAGAAAGTTGTTCTTCTTCTGTTAACTTAGTACTTTTGTTTCCTTTTTACGCGCCATTAATGTGACGTCAGTGAGCCACATATAATTGTAAATTAACACCTATAACCTCTATTTTTATTTATTATTTTACATGATACTATTGTTATCTACTTATACAGTGAGCACCATAAGTCTTACCCCCCTATCTAACTCGTTACTGGAGTCTTGTTAGGAAAATCGCCGAGACATGTCGATTTTTGATTTCTACAATGTACATTTTTGTATGAATAGTTTACCCTTAATTTCATCCCTTACTGTAGGGGAGCAACCCTTTCGAAAAATTTAAATGGCATGGGGTGGTGAGTGATAGCTCATTTGAAAGAGGGTTTTATTCTCTATTCAACCGTGTAAAAAAATTTGAAATTTGCTTCAGTAATTCTCGACTAATTGTTGTTTCAGAATAACGGAAATTAACGTAGCGCACTCATCCTTAGAATTAAAAATCGGCCCTGCATGATTTCGGTTTTGGTTCAGACGTGAAGTAAGACTTTTTGCTATTAGAAGGTCACTGTTAGTCTAGTTGCTTTCCTATTTTGTGAGGTTTTGTTATTTTTAAACATTAATAAATCAACACGTAATGCAGCAAATTTCAAATTTTTTTGCACGGTTGAATAGAAAATAAAACCCCCTTTCAAATGAGCTATCACTCACCACCCCATGCCATTTAAATTTTTCGAAACTGTTGCTACCCTCCAGTGAGGGATGAAATTAAGGGTAAACTAATCATGCAAAAATGTACATTGTAGAAATCAAAAATCGACCTGTCTCGGAGATTTTCCTAACAAGACCCCAGTAACGAGTTAGTTAGGGGGGGTAAGACTTATGATGCTCACTGTATACTTTATGAATACAGTATTTTAATATGTAAAATTACTATAATTAAAACTATATTTAAACTATAAACATTAATATCATCACTAATGCCACATATACCTAGGTCCATATTAAAAAATCTTTTAGAAACCTCAAATTATTTTACCTAATTATTTTTGTTCCTTCATTGTGTTTCTTATAATAAATTTTCCAAATATTAATCAACATCTTGTTCAAATTCAAACCTGTGTTAAAGGATGAATATCGTTATTTTTTTAGATTTTTATATTTAGATTATTACATGTTTTTTATTGCATTTAATAACCTTGTGTTGTCTTAAGAACACAATTAAATTATTTTGTGTCATTTACCTTTATAACAACTATTGTTTGTTATGACTAAATTTGAAAACAAGTAAGTTAAAAAAAGATTACATTGTGTTTGTCAATAAAAAAAACTAGCAACAATACGCTTATTTATTTCTCAATTTCTGTGGAAAATTAATATCATTAAATGAGTCATTACTCATTGGCTTTTTCTTTAAATAACTCATTACGATTACAAAAAAAAAATCTGATGTGTCCAACACATGACTTTCCTATCTAGTTATTACAGGCTTTTTCCAGTTATTTTGTACAACCTATTGCAGCACCTCCATAAATGTTTAGAGGATAAAATAAATATATACATTTTCCACATACATCTACCTCGAAACATTTTACTATAGATATTCATTGAAAATGAAAATACTGAAAAATTTAAATTTAGCACTTTTCCTACAATTTTTCCATTACGGTCCATTTTAGAAAAATCATGTATAAACAAAAATTATAGAGATCGATATCGCAAACAACTTTTATTTCAACAATTTTCATAAAAATCAGAATTTTGCACATTTTGTCAAATTTCTCGAATACGGACCATTTCAGGAAATTTTGACATAAAGCAAAAATTATAGATAATAATATTAGAAATAACTTTTATTTGAACAATTTTTTTCTCCAAACATAAATAACAGATATATTCCATAAAATATAAAAACGGCCCCCCATAAAGTACCCCCCCAGATGTTTCGACTTTTTCCAAAATCTAATCATTTCACGTCAGGCCGAAATAAAACTTAAGTTTAAAATTTAATGTTTTTTTCTTTATCCGTTTTTGAGTTTTCTTCAAATTTCGAAATTTACATATTTTCTCAAATATCTCGAATACGGTCCATTTTAGAGAAATTATGTAAAGGACAAAAATTATAGAGAATTATATTGCAAACAACTTTTGTTTGAACAATTTTTATAAAAAAATATTTTTATACATTTTGTCAAATTTCTCGAATACGGACCATTTTAGGAAAATTTTGTATAGAACAAAAATTTTAGATAATAATATTAGAAGTAACTTTTATTTGAAGAATTTTCTTCCCCAAACGTAAATAACAGATATATTCCATATAATATAAAAATGACCACCTATAAAGTACCCCCCTAGATGTTCCGACACTGCCCAAAATCTAATCAGCACATTGGACGCTGGAACAAAGCTTAAGTTTGAAATTTGGTGTTTTTCTGTGTATCGGTTCATGAGTTATGCGACACACACACACACACACACACAGACATCGCGAAAATAGTCAAAACGGATTCAGGTGACCTCAAAACGTAAAAATCCGTCGAAAACTCGAGGTCGAAAAAAATCATGATTCCTATACTTTCCTTATATCTGTATACATATAGGAAAGTAATACATATCAGTGAACGAGATCTCTTATCAGTTGTTCAAAATTATTTATTGATGATTTCCTGTGGGGTTTTTTAGATGAATAATCATTGTTATTATTAGTTATGTGATATTTTTTTTTTTAAGAAACTTTATACATATTGACTCAAGCTGATTGTATAAAGTGAAAACTGGTGGTATTTTTTAAAAACCCCAATAATATTTACAGTTATTTGATAATTAGTACAGTTATTGAAAATTGTAGCTATGAGAAATATTTTGAACATGAAAAATAGTATAGTGAGAGAGAAAAGAGAGTTAGTCCCTGGGTATTAAATAGAGTATAGGGGTATTTGTTGAATATAGTTTTGTAAACTTCACAAATAATTAAACGTTTATTTTACGTAGGTATGAAGTTTATTAATATTAAAATAATATTACAAATAATAATTAAAACAAAAGGAATAAAGACAGTCTTAACAAAAGAAACCGACTGCATTCGTCAACGGTATTCGATAATCTAACCATCCAAAAGTAGATACCACGAGCTGAAAGATTCTTTTTGTCGACCACCCCATCTTTTATTTATTTTTTATTTATTTATGTAGCACTTACAGAATGTAAAATTCCAAATAGTACAGTATATCTAACCTAACACAAACAATTGTAGGAGTTAAAAACATAAAATAAATTAAAAAATATATATAAAATATTAAAAAAAAGGAAGAATAACACAACACCGCGGGATAATACGAGTAAAACTGAAACATTCAAGAGTTGCAAGTCCCTTTTCAGCGCAAAAATATTACAATTAAATATATCAGTCTGAGTAAAATTTGTTATAGTTCTTGCATAAGCGATCAATAAATGCACTTTGACTGTAATTGGTTCTGTCTTTTTATATTCAAAAGTGATGTGTGCCGAGTCGTCGGGCAGGAACCAATAGTCAGGAATAGGAGTAAAGTGTGTTTTCTTCTGCATTCCAGGCTCTACATGCCGCAAAGCATTAATCTTATTTGATAACATGTGTTATGGTTATGAAATCGGTGTTTAAAGAGCAGGTATTTTACGAATTTACGTTGCACCGTTTCAATTGTATAGATATGACAGGTGTAAGTAGGTGGCCAAATAACAGAACAGTATTCCAGGCACATACTTTGATTTTCTTTTACTATACGGAGAATGGTCGCACTGCGCAGCTTTCTGAGTGCCTTTTAAAAGGAGATAGAAAACTCCGCCATTTTGAACCCTTATTACGTGTTGCCTACATCTTGGCGTAATATTTTTAATAGGTGCGTTTTAATCATCCGCTTCTGCTTCGGAATTGTCGGTTTTCTTGTTTTAATCTGACAGGTTAAAACGACTAAACCGACAATTCCGGAAGCAGAAGCGGATGATTAAAACGCACCTGATATTTTGCTTGCTGCTGTTAGTGTCAGTGAATATTATTTTTGAAGTCACAGTTTATTGCTAAAGAATCAGTTAGCTCACTCGGACCAGTTGAAAGTTCCAAAATAACATCCACTCCAGGGATACAAATTCAGGATACGCAGAAGACTGCTGTTTTATTATAGGCGGTTGTCATATATTGTATTATCCGAATTGCACAGTGTATAAACTGAAACATTGAGATCCAAAGTTCCGACGCAGAGTGAGCGATCTGATTCTTTAGCTGTAAACTGTGTCACAGGGTTCAAAATGGCCGCGCCCTATGTTGGGCGTGTCGAACCTCTCTCTTGCCTCGTATAGTAATCAAAGTATGTGATTCCAGGACACTTCTCAAAAGGACAGGTATTCTTATGTGTATACTTAACACGCAACGAATTAAATAGAGAGAGACATTACATACGAATCGCATTCTGTGGAACGAAGATAGTCGTCTCAACACGTGACGTATTGAAAGATGAAAATCTCAATGCAGGCCATTGTAAAGTGTCATGATTGCTTTTGTGTCATTCACGTACCTAGTATGTCTTTTGATGAAGCCAAGCTTTGCATACTATGGAATCTATGGTTGTTAAAAGATAATGTGGTATCAAAAATAATGCCCAGATCAATAACTGTCGAGGATCTATCTAGGTTGACGCTGTCAATACTGTAACAGTTAAGAGTAGGATTGTGAAATCTTTTAAAATGCATGGTTGTGTACTTAGAAATATTTATAGAATGTGCCTTATTTTTACACCAGATAGCAAACCTGTTTAGGTCAGACTATAAATCATCCGCGAAAAGAAGGCATTGGCTATTAAGAAAGCAGAACGTAACATCATTAAATAATAAGGAAAACAATAGGGGACCTATATGCGAACCTTGAGGAACACCGGATAGGACTGAAACGTCACATGATACGGAATTGTGCACTATGACACGTTGACACCAATTACTCAAATAAGATTTAATCCAGTAAAAATAACCAGAGATACCGATTTCGGAGAGTTTCTTGAGTAGCAATCCATGACAGACACTGTCAAAAGCTTTTGACAGATCGGTGGAGATGGTGTCAACCTGGTAACCATTTTCAATTGATGAAATTAAGAAGTCTTGATAGATTGGCAGATTAGTTGATGTCGAGCGACCTTGATAGAAGCCATGTTGTTAAAGTGAGATATAGATTCAAATAGTTTTAGAATTATCGATATAATGGAAATACCTGTATAATTTTTTAGATCGCTTTTACCACTTTTCTTGTAAACTGGCAGATGGAAATATTCCACTATCAAATGATTTTTGGAAAATTTGGCTAAGTGGGATTGACAAGGAGTCGCAGCACCCCCTCAAGATCGAAATTTGACTAGAGTCAAGACTTTTTATTTTAGAATCTGAAAAAGAATCTCCTTATCAGATGGTCATCTCGATAAATAAAAATTCGTCTTATCGACTCAAAAATTAGAAAAAGAATGAATCGAAAATTAAATTCGATTGACAGACACAGAATTTTCGTCGCAAGTAAAGAGATGGGACAATAGAGGTGTTCAAAAAATAACGGTATGAAAGACATACCGTTACAACGTTGCCAACTTTGTTTAAATGGGCCATATTTATGACATGTTTCAAAATACTATTCGTTTGCTTGGTATTTTATTAGTCTGTATTTTAAATAATTTTGAAATAATTGCTAACCTACCTTAATTGTTAAATTATAATTTTATTTGGGGTCTGTATCATTTTACAAAAAAAAGAAATAATTGCTTTGCAACTATGTACCAGATCATTTTAAAAGTAAAATAAAATACAGGGTGTTCCATTTAAACATTGTATATTTTTATTTGCCAAGCAAAAGCGTAACACCCTGTACATCCAAAAATATTTTTAAAATATCTTTCAAATCGATATATTTGCATGTTTATAACACACCCTGTATACTACTAGATATCTACTTCAATAATATCCTCTCCCACGAAGTATGGTAAAATAAGAAATTTAATGGGAATTCCCTTTTTTAGTGACTTTCTGGCGACTTAATGGTCACTTTTGTCAAATACATCTGTGGCATTGTTTTGTGATCACTGATCAATTTATTAATTTTACTTTTACCCAACTGATGGTTGTTTAGTATTTGTTACGCCACTGAAATTTATATATTCTGATGTAATTTTAGTAGAATGGCTAATTTGAAATCGTCATTATAGAATTGTTATAGAAAGTCATTTAAAAATTGTAATAAAGGTTTAAATAGAAAATTTTAGATAGTCTACAAAAAAATAGAAGTAATAATTGGAACCAAGACACTGGTGACATCAATTTTATCACGAGTATTGATAATGAGAGCTTTTTAATGTCGACCTTGTTAACCTCAAAAAAAATCTGCATTCAAACATAATTCTTTTGGCCTACATATCATCATGCTCACTTGTTATCAGTTAAATACAAAAAATAGGTTATTCTTAAATCTATTTATAAATTTTACTAACATATTTTTATCAATAATAAAACTACTGAAAGTGTTAATTTATTAATTATTTTATCTGTTAATACATAAACGATGCATTAATAAATAAAATACGCATTCGATAATCAAAAATCTTCCTCCATAACCGCTTAACAAAAAGAATGTATACTAGTAGCACCATCTGGAGTACCTCAAGGCTCAAATTTGGGGCCGCTGAAATAAATATGTATATCAATTAAATTATATTATCTATCTTTGCAGGTCTCACATATAACCATTTGTGATTTCTTTGCATTTCATTAGGGTTGGCACTTTCATTTCTTAAAACCCGGACCTTTGTTGTGAAGTTGTGAAGTTTCTAAAAAACGGTCCTCGGCTTACAATTTTATAAACCAGGTCGTTCTGTTGAGCTTCTAAAAAAAGTTATCCAGATTTTCCCCGGACATTTTCACCGGACAAATTGTTCAAAACCCGGACAGTCCGGGTGAAACCCGTACAGGTGGCATTCTTACACATCCTCCCATTTTGAAACTTCCAGTTTTGTAGACCCAAATTTAATTCTACTTCTTTCAACGTTTCTCTTCTTTATTTTCTTCTCCTATACTTCTACTAATCATCATTTTTGGGATCCTACTTTGCTTCATCCTTTCTGCATGTCCCATCCACCTTTGAGCTTTCACAAATCCGTTTCTAAACTCTTGGTTCTTCTTTCTCAAACTTGATTGTACCGTTTTCTTCAATACCTTCCTGAACCAAATTGGGTGTTCTCTGGGCGGATGTGTCAAATGTCAAAAACCAATAAACATAACCAAACATTTTAGTTCAAATTCATATTATCCTGTTTTATAACAATTTTTTTATAGTTTTACATTTTTAACCGACTTCAAAAAAGGAGGAGGTTGTTAGAAAGGGGGTGCAACTCTTATTTATGTATGTTTAGTGGTAATTCTCTACCACCTTGTCCGATTTCTATGATTCTTTTTTTGTTTGTAAGAGGGTACCTCAGGGGTGGTCTCCTATAAATTTGGTTAAGATGTGGTGATGGCATCTGCACGATTTTGAAGTCGGTTTTTTAAAATTACTTTTATTATACGTGTTTGTATTCATGTTTATGAGTTCTAAAAAATGTATTCCAAGAAATAGACAATACTTTTGAATATAAAATGATAACTAAAATATAGCAATCGCACCTCCTCCACCCTAAAATTATGGCGTGAAGCTAGGCGACTCATGTGCGCGCCTTTGGTAATTTTTTAACAAAATTGTGTATGCGCATTAGGATAGACATTTGCATGAACGCCACATTGGTGTTACACTTACCTCCGGTCTGTAATTCCTGAACTGAACGCGCCCCTGTTATCGTTAGTTTAACATTACGTCATTGTGCATCCTCTAAAGGTGTGGCTAGTGGTAGTTCTTTTAGACATTTTATTACAGAAAATAATAAAATTTTAAAGAAGTAATTTTTACAACTCATATTTCATAATCATCATCATAAAACGGTTTAAAATGAATCAAAATAGATTTGTTTTTTTTTTCTTAAAAAAAATTATATTTAAATAATAAAGGTAATTTGTTATAAACATATTGCAATTTGAGCATGGGAAGGTAAAGTACCAAATAAATAACGGTATAACATATTTCGAATTTAAATAATAAAATTGTTATTCTCTCAAGGAAACTTTCATGTACGCGTTCTTTACATATCTACTTTAAACAATTCAGAGTCATCTCTATCAAATACACTAAAAAAATTGTCTATTTTAAATCCTGCCCTTGTCAAGTCTCTTGAAGTTTTCGAACCTAACGCAGCTTTCACATTATCAGATAGATGGCGGATCCATCCAATGTTGACTAATGACAGTTAACAGTTCAACATGCATGAGTGACATTTGACAATGTCAGTCGTTGAGTTCGGGAGGTGTACTCGTATTACTCTTTTTACTCCTTGACTAACTTCTGTCCATGCTAAATGATTGTAATTCAGTGATGTGAAGTTAGATATGGAGTGAAAAGAGTAAAAGAAGTCCACATCCCGAACTCAACAAGTTAAACGAAAAGTGGCACAATTTTGGTTTGCTTTATGACAACCAGAAATTGTTTTGTAATGCTCCTTGATTGTATTAGGACATAGCAATAACTGCATTAAGATACACGTTTGAAACTAAATTGAATGTCTTTGCTTTAGGTCAAGTCAGTCAGTCACCGAATCAGATGAAAACTCAATAGTAGATAGCCAACAATGCAACAGTAACTCAGATTTTCTTGTGATAATGTGAAAGAAGCGTAACACGTCAGTTTTTACTTCTCGTTAGCAAACTCGACGTTATTCTTTTGTTCTTCCGTCTTCATCAACGGCTTCATCTCGCGACCTTCTTCCTGATCGGCCGTTCTGTTGGTTCCGTTGTGTTCGCTTCTGGCCGCTGTCGCCTTGCTTCTCCTCTTCTTCACGAAGTTGTAGGAGAAGGCCGCGGCGCCGACGACCAGGACCGCTACGAAAAGACCGATCAGCAGCGAGTTGTTTTTTCTGATACCACCTTCGCTAGCCGCGCCGGATTTCGGTTCTTCGCCGGGTGCCGCAACTTCTGAAAACATCGATAACGTAAATATTATGATTTGAAGGTTACTAATAACGAAATGGGGACACAACTTGCGCCTTGTGCGGCAATATTTGCTACTCGCGTTAAAATGACTCGGTACGTTTTTAAAATATCGTTGAAAAAGTTCAAAGTACTTTTTGGACATGTTTATTAATCAAACATTACTTTTTGACGTACTAGAGAGATAATTACGTATTTATGAAACATCCTGTTTACTGATAGTTATAGAAAACAACTATGTGTGTATCCAACTACAAAATGAAAATATATGAACGACATTTGCTTTTGTAATATGAAATTTAATAAAAAACTTAATAAATTAAGAATAAAATTTGCTAAGTTGAAAACAGTAGATTTCATGCCTAAAACAGGAGAACAGTGGATCTACTTAAAAACAGTAGGTCTGGCAACACTGATCTTTCCCTCGAATGATTGTCTGTGGTTGTCGCGTCGCCTGTCTACTTGCTTCCCAAATATGTGAAGCGTAACGTAAATGCATCGATCTCCTTTGCTGTCGCTTCTGTTGTCGTCTGTCGCGCGTTTCGAAATGGTACCTTTACAATACCGACCTCAGTGACGTAACTGCAATGGTGCCAGTGGTGCAATGGCAGAAACGAAAAGTCAAATCTTTTTTTCAAAATTATTAAAGTAAAAAATTATTGAACTAATAACAGTTTTTTAGAATTGTTATTAGTTCCATTTTGTATTTTGTTTAAATGAATTATAATATATAACAAAAAAAGAAAATATAACACACAAAAAAAAAGAATAACAGAAACGAACGACTAACAAATACTAACAGTGGATTGTGGATTTGTAATTGTTTGTATCCAAACAATGTAAATTAGTCTGGCCAATTGGCAATGCCAAGGCCATAAATTTTAAATAAAAAAAAGAATTATAATTGGTGTACGACTGGTAGGTGTAGGTACAAAATTTCTAGGTATTTCACATGTTAAGACGAAATTGAAGAGACTAAGTTAATTAAAGTCATATTAGAAAAATTTTAGACAAAAATTCTTAATGCAACAGACACTACAAAATCGAAAATTTAAAAGGTTTTAGGAAATTAAAATTTAATTCTTGCAAATGGGGAACTACAACTGAATTTAAAAAAAAATCGTATTTTTCGACCAAAATATAAACTTTTTGACGAAATATCTAATCACTATATTATTGAAACTTCTAAGGATCAAATTAGAAAAATAATTTACATAAAACGTCAGGATATTACCAAAAATCAAATCTACTTTAGATCCACTTATCTTGGAAAAAAATGTGACTTTTAGATGTTTCGATCCAAAAGTATTAGTTAATGATGATTATTTTAAATGTGGCAAATTCTTCACTTAAAAAATAATAACGATATTTCAGAATCCTACAAATTTTTGATTAGTACTTGTAATAAAGATGTCCGGATTTAAGATTTGGAACCAATTCCCCACGATGTCTTGTTACGCCACTGACCGGTCTTTAATTTTCATAAAACTCCACAGCTATTTACAATAACATGTTAAAATTTTTGCGTTTATTATCCATTACCCTTGTCAGGAAGTATATAAGGAAAGTCTGGTAAGTTAGTGACGTATCTAATCCATATTTGTTGTTAATTATTAACATGATGACTACATGACTTCGTTTTTTATTACTTTTTATTGATTTTCATTCATTTTTTTTATATTTATTCATAATTATTCATTTTTATTTATTTTTACTCATTTTTAATTATTTTTATTTATTTTTATTCATTTTTATTCATTTTTATTCATTTTTATTCATTTTTATTCACTTTTATTCATTTTTATTTATTTTTATTAATTTTTATTATTGTTTATTAATTTTTATTAATTTAAATTAATTTTTATTAATTTTTATTAATTTTTATTAATTTTTATTAATTTTTATTAATTTTTATTAATTTTTATTAATTTTTATTAATTTTTATTAATTTTTATTAATTTTTATTAATTTTTATTAATTTTTATTAATTTTTATTAATTTTTATTAATTTTTATTAATTTTCATTAATTTTTATTAATTTTTATTAATTTTTATTAATATTTATTAATTATTATTAATTTTTAATAATTATTTTTTTAATTTTAGTTTATTTTTATAATACTACCATACAAAAATCTAACAACCACATTATTTATTTATGCTACAATTATAATTTTCAAGTTCCAACGTTCAAATAATTTAAACTTCTATACAAATTTTTCCCCCCGTTTTCCCCTCTTAAAATGTGAAAATCCAAAAACCATGAAACACATCATTTTTGATTTTTAATCAGTAGCTGTAATTCAAATTTTTATGTTTTGAAACTTTAAATGACCAAAAAATATATACCTACTATTAAACAAATTTTCACCCCCCATTTCCCTCTTTAAAATGTTCAAATATAGAAACCCTGAAACAATTCATTATTTATTTATTATGAGAACCTACAATTCCAATTTTCCAGTACCTACCTTTAAAAAAATCGATATTTCCAAATAAACTTTTTCCCCCTGTTCCCCCCCCCCCCCTTAAATGTGAAAATCCAAAAACCCTAAAACACTTAGCTTCAATTCCAATTTTCATGTTTCTAACTTCAAAAAAAACAAAAAAATATATACTCCCATACAAACTTTCACCCCCCGTTGGCCTCCTTTAAGATGTAAAAATATAAAAACCCTAAAACACATTATTATTAATTTGTACTGCAATTCCAATTTTCATGTTTCTAACTTTAAAGAGAACCAAAAACATGGATACTCCCAAATAAATTTTCACCCCCCATTTCCCCCCTTAAAATGTGAAAATCCAAAAACCCTGAAACTCGTCATTAATAATTTGTAGTCAGTATGTAGCTGCAATTCCAATTTTCATGTTTCTAATTTAAAAGAGACAAAAAAAAATCGATTGTCCCATATAAACTTTCACCTCCAGTTTTCCCCCCTTAAAATGTGAAAATCCAAAAACCCTAAAACACGTCATTATTTATGCTTAGTATCTGTAATTTAAAGTACAAAGAGTTTCATTAAAAGCTCCCTCCCCCATTTCCCCCCTAAATTTAAAATTTCCAAAAATCCTTTCTTAGCTTTATAAAATAAACCTATGTTCCAAATTTCAGCTTTCTAGGCTCAGTAGTTTTGGCTGTACGTCGATAGGTCAGTCAGGACAAACAATTTTATAGATAGATAGAAGATTTGTGTAGTTTCTTCAAGGCTTCTAATAAATTTATCGGATTCGATTTTCAACCTTGTTGGCGCAAAAATTCAAAATATAAACTAAATAAACTTACTGATACTTTCTTTGGGCTTCATACTACCCACTTTCGTCTCCGTATCAATCATGTTTCCATTGGCGTTGACCAAAGCATTCCCGCTTTGCTGATTGTTCAAGTCCTCTTGCGTCAATTTTCTTCCTTTTTTTGCGTTGCTCTCCTGACCTTTTCCAGCTTCGCTTAACTCTACTTCAACTCCTACCACGGCTGGTACTTCGAGTAGTTCTGTGGGCACTTCTTTCTTGGGCTCGAATTCATCGGGTTTTAGATCCACTGGTGGTGCCTCGGAGATGTCAGTTTTTGGTTCTCCTGGTTTAACCTCGGTTTTGTCGGTTTTTGGTTCTTCTGGTTTTGCCACGGAGCCTTCAGTTTTTGCTTCCTCTGGTTTTGCCTCTGATCCGTCGGTTTTTGGTTCCTCTGGTTTTGTCTCTGATCCGTCAGTTTTTGGTTCCTCTGGTTTAGTCTCTGATCCGTCGGTTTTTGATTCCTCTGGTTGTGCCTCGGGACTGTCGGTTTTTGGTTCTTCTAATTTTGTTTCATCGGGTTTTACGTCCGTTTCTTGGGTCTTAGCTTCTTCAGACTTCGGTTCTTCTGCTGCAGGAACCTTTTCAGCACTCGCCGCGGTCGTTTGGAGGGGTTCTACTCCAGGAATAGGTGTTTCGGATGCTTCTGTCTTTTCTACGGCAGCTTTGCTTTCAGGTTCGGATTTGGTTTCTTCCTTGGATTTTTCAGTTTCTTTTGGAGCTGTTTCCGTTTCTATTTCATGTTCGCTTGGATGTGATGGTTGTTCATCGCCTTTGTCCTCTATTGAAAAAAAAATTTTTTTTAGCATTTATACATCAAATCTGTTATGATTATTACCTTCTCCTGAACCTTCTACCTCTTCGTCAGCTTCACGTTTTCTGAGATTGTGTTGGTCAATTTTCAAAGGTTTTAAATTGATTTGGAGTTGATTGCAATCGATTACTTCATTTTTATATGCTAAATCGTAATGCTCACATAATCTTTCGAGCAATGTTCTTGGTGAATCATCTTCGTTATTTTGCTGGGCGATCCAAATATCATTTTCCTAAAATGCATTTTTGTTAAGAGGTTTATTAACAATATGGTTTAAAATTTGTGTGCTATGTTCAAATATGAAAACAAATTTTACTAATTTAGATATACAGGGTGTTGTTTTATGGAAAAGTATTAATTATACAGGGTGGTTAGTAAGTGATTAAAAAACACAGTAAAAATCTATGAAACACCCTGTATTTCAATTATAAAAGGTGAAAGGCCCATTAAATATGTGTTATTCGATCCAGTTGGTATTTTTTCTACCCACGACTGGTAAGTTTTAGTTTTAATTTCCATTCCCTGTTATTTTATGAGTTTTTATTAAAAAAACAACACTGTAGTGGTAATTGGGACATTGCATCGGCTGTATATAATGCCTTGCGACTTGTATTCCCAAAGTTTAAAAAACCCGAAAAAATTATTTCCTTTGATTTCTATGAATAATTATATCTATCAAGTACGTATAAATAAACCAATTATATTTAATCCATTAAAATTTAAATATTTCATTCATTTATTATTGAATGCTGTTGTATTTTCATAAATATTCATCTAGGTTATCAACATTTAACGCCTAATTTTAATATTCAAGTTTATCAATTTGCATTTCATGCCAATATTGCTGATTTTATTATCTCGTGTTTTTTTTCATATTATAAACTGGTAAAATTTAATATTAGAACTTTTGCGGAAATGAAATTTGTTTATTTCTGACACCTTGTTAGTGTGTTAAGTATTACGTAAATATTAATGGCATTATCTATTTTTAGATGTATGCGTTTCCTGCTAAACCGTATTACAAGTTTCATGTTGTAGGTATTAATCATTTATTTGATAAGATACTATAGGTACTTACTGGCCAATCTAGATCTGCATCCTGAAATTAATAAAACTCATATTTATAAAGTATTTAAAATAATAATATATATTAAAAAAATTAATTTAGTTGATCGTCTAATATAAAAAAATGCTGTCTTTCAAAAATCTGATTTTTACGTGTTAAAATATACAGGGTGACTATTTAAAACATTACAATGGTCATATCTCATGAACTAAATATATCAGAAAATGTTTAAATTGTTTTTAGAATACGAATAGGATAGTAGTTTATTTTTTATATACAGTGTACCCGTGGATGGAGGTACCCAATAGGCAAAAACCACTGTTATTACTTTATTTTTAAAAATTCGAATTTTTATTTCAAAATTTTGACTACGTTAGTTTATAAACAACTTTGTTTTCAAAATTTTTGTAAAAAATAATAAATAATGGTACTTATTCCTTGAAGAATTTTCTTCTTTCCTAATTTATTAACACCCTGTACATGTGATCTAAAATTTTCTTATCGTCAACTCATTTTCTCAACTAGCATAATTTTTTATAAAGAATGACTTTTGGACTTAAAATGAATAATAAAGATTTTTTTCCCTATATTGGGTACTCCCATCCGCAGACAAAGGGTATACTTGTGTTATTATTGTACACGATTTATTTCCTTTTTCGTTATTATTTTGCAATTACTGTCTACTGTCAGTCTTTAAAATAAATACAGTTTCGCATTATTTAAGTCTATTGTGCGAAACCAACCATGTTCTCTATTTACGTTTACGAGTCATAGAGGCTGGCAATAGCTTTAGCTACCCGTCCACCTCGAAGACCCGATACATTGCTGAAATGTTCTTTAGCTGTCGTGACGAACCCTTTTTCCGATCAGAATTCCACGTCCAACCTCTTCATCGTGGTTCCAAGGTTCCATCATGACAGGTGTTCCTTCTTCCATAGGTTCTTGAAGCCGTGCTACTATAATGGAATACCTGAGAGAATACCTGTACAGCAACTGGTACGGTACTGGTCCCATATGGATGTAGGAATACCTCTTCGGTACCAACTTTGATCACTTTGTTCTTAAAATTCAACTGGAAGCCATGTAAGTTCATTACATCCATGAATAGTATAACATCTTCTTCGATATCAGTGACAATAACAGTATGAGTGAACTTTTCTGTACCAATTCCTGGATTTCCCCATGCTTGTTGGCACTTTCACTTGTGATAGCCCGCAGTCGCAATCTTGTTGGTAGAAGTCTTTTGCGGTTATTTATGGTTGTTGGTCGTATAATGATCCTAGTTGCTCTAGTATCCATCAATAGTGTACACTTCGCCGTCTACGTATACGCTATCATTGCGACATTTCAAAAAGGCTATCAGTATGAGAGGATCTTCGGAACGGTTACGGTTCGAAGCTGTCCCCTCTAGGCCGACCTGCTCTAGTTTTTCTGCTGCGTGTTGTCTTGGTTCGTTGTGACCCTAGGGCATTTGCACGAACTGCGTACATGTCCCAGTTCACCGCAATTCCAGCACCTGATGGTCTTCATCTTCATTTTATTGTCAGTAAGGCTCTTCATCATGTTAACCAATTGGTCAAGTTTATCTTCTTCTTTTACAGTATCTACCAGAAGCTTGCGTAGCTGCCTCATACTCTAGAGCAGCGTATAAGACATCGATCAATGTTTTGTGACGGGCTAGACAGAGTGTTTTTTGCTTTTCATGGTCACGAAGTCCGTCAGCAAATGTTTGAACAGCTAGACATTCCATCATATTTTCCGTAGCTGATGAGTAGGCAAATCGTATCAACTTCATATTCTTGAAGGGTCTCGTCTCGTTTCTATTTGTGATTCTTTAACTGTAATTGGTATAAATGCTCAAAGTGTTTGTGATCATATAGCATCTGTCATATAGCAGCTGTTTTGAACTGTTTAAGGTAGTTGATCCATGACATCTTCCCATCGAAAGTTGGAGCCTTAACACGAGCAGAGTTTACAGCTTCTTCCAATTTAAATGTTGACTCTACCACATGGCACTGTCCTGTATGTTCTCTTTCTTCAATCTTCTTTTCCATCTCTTTTTTTTTTCTCCTCAATGGAAGAAATCTTATTTTCCATATCAGCAGAAATTGAATTTTTTATAGAAGAGATATCAGAGGATATTTCCATAGAAGACATTTCAGAAACACCTTTTTTTTCAAGGAAGAAACTTTATTATCTAATGAAGAAATATCAGAAGAAACTTTAGTTTCCAAGGAGGAAATCTCGGAAGAAACTTTGTTTCTAAGGAAGAAATATCTTTTTTTATAGAGGAAACATCAACAGTAATTTTAGTTTTCATAGAAGACATATCAGACGAAACTTTGGTTCTTCGAGATGGACGAGCAGCTATAGCCAACTGGCGCGCAGCCGTAAATAAAGATTTTGCACAACACTATCTTTGAATTAATTTGCAATAATGATTTACACTCCATTTAACCATATAAAAATGATCTTCGTTTGTGAAATCCTGTCAGTTCTTAAATACAGTTTTGCATTATTTAAGTATATTTTTGAATATTTTTCATAATGGTTATCTGAAAACATGCAATTTTTAACCAAAGACTGAAATATAAGTCATATTTGTGTTCGAGATTTAATTGCTAAAGAAAGAACCCCGCACATTCATTGTTGTATCTCTAAGCTTCAAAATATGCAAGGTGATTTATTAGTGGAAGGTATTCTATTTAAATTCTAAAATTTCTCCGATCAAATATAACCATTTTCTCAGTATATAATAATTTTTACATCGTTTTAAAATATATGAATTTTAATAGCGATACTATGACCAGTTTTCGAGATACAGGGCGTTAAAGTATTCCAAACAACCTTATTGGTTACTGGATTTGTAATTTATTCGAATTGTATTGTATTTATCTTTTCAAATTGGTTTTTAAATATGTAATATTGAACCACCCTGTATAAGCTATAACTTATATTGTCGAAAATCATTTTTACTAGCTTTCCAATGATGTATAACAAGTAGGGGGTATTTATACAGTGTGTCTACTTAAGTTGGAACCAAATGGAAAAAAAAAATATTATTAATAAAGAGTCCTGCATAACTCAAAACTTAAAATACAGTCATCAGATATCAAATTTTTCAAGCCGTATACGAGGTTTGTCAAAAAATATGAATTTTGCTCAAGAGTAAAGTACGTTTCTTTTTGACAAAATCGAAAATTTTCATTAGGAAAGTTCATTAGAATTCAAATATACAATTACACCGATCTATCTGAAAAATCAGATTTTTTTAGATTTTGCATTGATCCACCTAATTATGGTAATCCATAATTTTTTCTCTCTCTTCTCTACTATAAACATGATACGCTTTCCTTTTCTTGATGTTTGTGAAGAATTTAGCCATTTTCTTAATGAAAATTTTCGATAAACGTACTTTACTCTTGAATAAAATTCATATTTTTTGACAAACCTCGTATACGGCTTGAAAAATTTGATATCTGATGACTATATTTTAAGTTTTTGGTCATGCAGGACTTTTTATCAAGAATAACTTTTTTCCTAAAATCAATAATAATTTTTTTTTCCATATTGTTCCAACTTAAGTAGACACACTGTATATTTTATTTTTTTTTGAGGTAGGTGGCGCATAGAGAGGGGGTATCATTTGAGTTCCCCTTCCGTATCTTAGAAAAAGTTTTAATTTGTAATTGATGTGATATAAATATTGTAGGTTTTTAAATTGCCACCCCGTATAATATTAATGATAGTTATATACTTTTTGTTAGATACTTTTACACAGCTGCAATAGTACTAATGCTAATCTCTTAGATAAAAAAAATCAGATTTAAAATATATATCTAAATTTATTGGAAAAAAAATTAAATACTTAGTCAAATCTATTTTTAAACATTTTTAATTTTTTTTTTTCACTGAAATTGGCTGTTATAAGTATTCTCCCATAGCTTAAAAAAAGATATGCTAGCTATATTAAAGGGATTTAATCATAAACCCATATAATATGTTGCTAAAAGATTCGGTCATACCATATTATTTTTAATTCCTTTTTTATTTTTCACTAAAATTAAGTACTTACATTTTCAAATAATAGATCTTCCACATGTCCATTTGTAGGCCTGCAAAATAAAAGAAATTTTATCACTTCTGTGAATCATAAATATTTATAATATTGAATAATAATAATTATTGTAATCAGCCCTCGAAAAAAAAAAATATTTCCAATACACGTAATTAATTTGATTCCGTCAGTGCTTACGTATGAACATTTAATATCTTTTATCAATTATTATTAATTTATAATTGATGATTACGAACTTTTCCCCACAGTGCATGCTCTGTTCTAAAAAATTTGAATTTTATTGCAACTGAACCCCACAAAATTTTAAATCATTAATTATATCAAATTTTACTAAATTAGATGTAATAACTTTCAATATATTCCAAAACCTAGTTATGTTGGGTTGGAAGTGGCAACAAGGCTTACACCGGCATGGATATTTACGTTGTTTATTATAAGAGCACAGCGGCTTACACATTTATTCATTGATAATAAAGTTGTATATGCGTAAACTCCTTCTCTTTATCCCCTCTCTTACTTCTCACCTTTCGTCTTCTCACCACTCACCTACAAATACAGTGTTATGATTGTCGACTTAATTTTGGCATCGTGAATATTATATTTTATCAATGAATGGCTATATCTCTGTTATCCCGGGACCATCAGTCCATTTAATGTTGTATGCGAGTAAAATTATAACTTTTTTGGTTTGTGATTGTTGATAATATATTTTTTAAATGTATTGGTCGGTATAAGATGGGAAAAGGGCCAAATAACATCCCTGAAGATGGCAAATGTCGAAATCGCTTGGCTTTACAAATAATATACTTAAAATATACGTTTTTCTTCATACTTTTTTACTTTATCTTACATAACTATGTAATTTTAAATAATTTATTATTGGAGTTTGCACATTTTTGATACTTTGATGGAACATTGAAGGCCAAATGTCAATTTGCCTGAACGAATGATTTATCGAAGGTAATATAAAATAAAAATAAATGATAAGATATCGCAATCATTTAAGAGTTTTTCGTTGAACTTGTGATTTAAACGGATATTCCTTAAATATTTTATTGAGTAAGCTATGTCAAGGTACTATTCCAAAAATATCAAAACATAGTGAATAAATAATTTTATTATAATATTAGATTATTGTAGTAAATTTTTCATAATTATTTTTTACCTATCACGATAATTATTTCAATAAATTCACAGTTAGTGGATATATTTTTTTTAATTTGAATTACACTAAAAAAAGGACGTCTGAAAAAAACGCATAGAGAAATTATAAGAAAAACACTTTAGAAAGAAGACAGTATGGTCTTTTAAAAAAGATAATAATAACTTATAATAATAAAAAGTACATAGTCTAGAAAAGAACGGAGGAATATTATTAAACGAACTGTCAAACGACTGAAGAGCAAAAATGAAGTGAATAAGTAAGGTAATTTATACAAAATAAGAAATTTTGACCAAAATAAAAAGTTAAAAGAATACACAAACGTAGTTTTAACAAACTATAGTAAAAAAACAACCAAAACTTAATTCAAATAATAATAATAATAAAATGAAGTTAAGATAGTAAATCATGCTTTTTGTAATAATAAAGAAAAGTTACAAGCAAACAGTAATGTAACAATGAATTGAACATAAATAAACTCCATAACAACTAATCATAATTTCAAATTATTATTAAAAAACTTTAAAATTACATTTGCAAGGATTTAATAAAGAAATTAATTTAATTCATTCAATTCTTTCAATCATTTTTATTAACTTCCACACGATCTCGTGACTATATGTTGGAAAACTAATACAAGAAGCCAAATTTTGACAGAATTTTGAAAATTGACTCGTTAATTATGTCATTTTAATACCACCAATATGACACACAAGGATGAGTTATAGTAACAGGTAACATATGGAAAACTTGATTTTCCTTATCAGAAATTTAAGGTATTTGTTGCCCATATTTTCACGCAAGCCGTGTTCACTAACTGATTAACTAATAGAACTATGATTCGGAAAACCAAAGGCTTAATGTTGCAAGTGACTAAAGGATTGAAATAGGGGCGTAATCTTGTTGGGAAAAAATGGAGATTTTAACCGATTTTTTCACACCAGCCCATAAAAACGTACTGGCTTGAATAACCCGAATGGATAAGTGCATTTTGGGCTCGAAAAATTTTCCATGTGTTATCCCCAAGAGTCATTAGTAAATTGTCTTTCTTTCTACTCAACATCAATATACTTTTCAATCTTCTTCGCGGCTGGTATGCGAAAATGGGGCACTTAAATTAGGGATGTGCGATTCGATACGATATTTGACAGTATCATTGAGGAGTTAGAAAATCTATATTTTGTATCGATACATGTCTATGTTAAATCGTATCGAAAATAAAATAACACTTATGTATCACTAATTACGAAATTAAACTATACCATCTATGGATAGGATACTAAACATACATTAGTATATATTTTTTAATTATATATCTTAAAAGCCATTTATACTTCCGTACATAATTTTTTCACTTCAATATTATTTGGATATTTTGAGTATCGATACTGTTGCTTACGATATTAAAGTGTATCGATACATTAAACTTCGATATGAATCAATACACTCTATCGATACTTTTTTATGTATCGAACATAGGGATGCGCAAATTTTTTAAAACATCGATGTTGACATCAAATGATACATCGAATACAGACTATCGATGTTGTAAAAAAAATCTAAATTTTTCTAAATATCGATGTGTCTGTAAACATCGATGTTTTCCAAAAGCGTTCATTGAAGTGCAAAAAAAAAGGAATTCAAACAATCAAATGAACCGTGATGCTTAACAAAAAACCAAAAAGCATTGAAAAGAAAATCATCGATGTTAATTGAAAAATCGATGTTAACAAATAACACCGGATAAATAAAAATCGATGTTGAACATCGATAATCGAAACCTAAAAATCGATGTTTTTTAAACATCGATACATCGTGCGCATTCGAATATCTCTAACCTAAATCTGGTTGACCAGTCTAAATAAAGGTCTAACTTTAGATAACGAAAAAATGCCTAATTGCAGTCTAAGCATTTCAGTAACAGGTAGTGCTTGATTAGATTAATATGCTTAATCTATCTATTTATTTAATTCAGTAGCGTACACTATACAGTTATTAACGTCATTATAAAAATACAAATTCAGTGTTTAATACTACTACAAACAACATTAAGACCCGCTAACATTTTTATTATAATCCTTATAATAAAAAAGTCAGTAGAATTTAAAATTTATGTGGATATATGTAGGTAGATTTATTAAAACACGTACTGTGTAATTCAATAAAATTTATTAAAGTCTAAACACGTTATATGTGACATAAGTTATTTTAAAACGTACAGTAAGCATTTGAACTAAGAGAAACACATTTCAGAAAATTTAATCTACTATGACTATGACAAATTTTTTCAATAAAGGATTAAATTTTCTTATTTTTAATTTTTAAGTATGCCAGAAAAACAAATACAGTAAATTCTTTAAATGACAATTGACGTTTCTAGTTTCTATTAATGCGGTGTTGCCAAATGGAGTAAGAAAACGTATACGACAGGAAATAGTTCCAGGCCATATAGCGTAGCCAAAAAAATAGTGTCTGGCCGGCAGGTGAACTTGGACATTCGTCTTATTATTTAATTTCATGATGTGGCTCACGAGCTAGGAGGTTGCTTCGTCTTCTTATTGTATATTTTCTTATTATTAGATGCTCGAGACAAAGACACGTTCGTTAAAAATTGGAATCCAGGTTCACTGGCCAGATGCTAGTGAGGGTTGGCGGAATTTTGTTCGAAAACCCTTAGTTTGAAAATACATTTCTTCGAAAAAGTTAGTTCAAAAGCACTATTTTTCGAAAAATCTTAGTTCGAAAATTGTTTTGTTCGATAAAGTGTAACTCGAAAATTCATTTGTTTTTTTAGGGCTAGGTAAATTAGTTAATATTTGTTTAATTTTTCTTATTTTATGTTTATATTTATTGAGAAGCAACTCGCGATGATTCCAGGCCTGCTCAGGTTAGGTAAATTAGTTAAAATTTGTTTAATTTTCTTATTTTATGTATATATTTCTTTGCGAAGCAACTCGTGATGACTCCAGGCTTCACAGGTTAGGTAACTTAGTTAATTACGCCGATGACGATGAGGAAGAAGATCTTGATATTTACATTTCTTAAATCGTTAGTTGTATACAATTTTTCTAATACTGAAGTCAAAATTTGTTGGCCTGGTACAACACAAGGCATAGGTAAAATTGACCATTGACATGTAATAATTGATATGGCAACATTGTATTTATTTTAGACAAACGTCACACTTCCAATGTCATTGTGGTTACGACACATTTTAAAGCTTTAAGGTAAAAAAAAAATATTTTAAAGCGTTTGCAGGACAAAAAAAGTATTTTGGAATGTGTTTCAGAGGGTCTAAAATGGTAAAAAAAAATGGTTTGTTCGATCGATGGATGATTTTTTCATTATTATATCTCAGTGCTTTGAACTGAAAACTAAACATAATCTAAAAACTTTTATTAAACTAATCTGTTTTGTTTTTTTAACCATTTTTTACATTTAAATACTTAATTTTTAAATACAAATCTTTGTGAGATATAATATATAATGGACCTTTTTATTTTTCTACCTTTAATATAACTAACACATGGCTACTCCAAGTGTGAATTATAAATTAGTTAAATTTAATAGATCTTATTCTATTTCATAGTTTAAGACACTGAAATCACACAAATCACAGTAAAAACATTAAAAATTAGCAAATATCAGTCTCGTAAAAGTAATCTACTTTTAGTCCCCGCCTGTCCATTCCTTTTCTTACAGTAATACAGTGTTGCCGTATTTATTATTTTTTTTAGACTATAAAGGACATTATAAAATAAATATTTATAAGTTTTCAAATATGTTTATTATTTCTTTTTCATTAAAATGATTCAAAATATTTTTTTTTTCAAATACCATTGGTCCTTTTAACTTTTATCTATTAAATTTTGAGT